ATAAGGTAACCCACATTTGGCTCTTTAACTTCTCATTTCATGAAACCGAAAACGACGTCAACTTCTCATTCACTCATAAATAGTTTTGACAAATTGTCTTCACTACCTGACTTGCTATACCGCAAGGAACATGTCAACACTTGGATCCACCTCAAAAGACGTGTGGACCCCACTTAACTTTGGGCTCAAAGTTGGCCCAAAATAAGCTTATAAAACCAAAATTTTCCAACACGTGGTACCTTCTTCGTGTGTTTTTGGTCTTTTACCCTAGACACTCAGGCCAACTTAACAATACCAATCTACACCTCTTATCCGGACTTACAAGACATATTTATCCTAAAACATTTTCAAGATTTACAATTGTTTTATCAACGACAATTTAATTTCCAAAACATAACAACGATAATCAATATTCAAGCTATGCAAATGCGTATATGCAAATACAATTTTACAATTTTCATGTTCCCCAACATTTTACCTTAACACAATACAATCATCAACATTTTCAATGTTTTCAAATTAAATATCAATAATCATATCTGTGGGACACAAGACCCAATCCACAATCACAATATTATACAATTTTCAGCCTTCCCATGATTCAAAGTATTCTCACTATACTATCCGTGGAAATTTTTCAAACAAAATCTTCCTTCTTTACATGGATGATTCAACAATGAAATCACATATAACTTTCCCCATCTTTTTCAACAAAATGTCATGATTTCATGAGTTTTCTCTTAACAATTTCAACTTTTCCCCAAATTTCAAATTTTAGGGTTTCCACCCAAAATGAATTTCATTTATTCTCAAGAGGTATTTCTTTTTATCCATGGACTTTTAATAGTCATACCTTTCATGAATTGAAAACCAATTCCATGAGAGGGGTGAGAATTTTCTATTTTTAAAATCCATTCAAAATCTTCATTTCAACCCCCAATTCATAACTTAAAGATTTCATCAAGAGAAAACTAGAACATGCCAAAACCATATATATAGCTCAAAGAAACTTCTTACCTCAAGATTTAGAGAAGAAGAGAGAAGAAACCTCCAAATTGACGGTGTTGAAATCTGATCTTCACCGCACAAAATATAGCCCTTGAAGAACTCTCCAAATTTGATGAAGGAACCTAGGTCAAAACTCAAATAGATTGGGAGAAATCAAAGGTTTAATGGAGTTTGGTGAAAGTAAATGTAGAAAGAAGGAAGAGAAATGTATTTTAGAGAGAGAGAGAGAGAGAAAGAGATGAAGGAAAAGTGAAGTGGGTGCTCAGCCCAAGGAAAGAAAAAGAAAAAAAAAATCGGACAGAGCACATTTTCACACATGCAGCCCATCCTCCCGCATGTGCCCTCCGCACGTGTATTTATTTCAGTAGCCAACCCCTTGAACTCTCCCTCACCTCACGTGCGACATATCCTTCCTGCATGTGCACTACCCTTCTCGCACATGCGGTTCTACTGCTACCCAAAATTTTGCAAGCACAAAATGGTTCCAAATGACCCTGACTCCAACTACACTCTTGAAACAAAAGAACTCAGATCCGGAAACGAAATGAGGATGTACATTCCAGAAAAGTATCAAGTATGACAAACTGAAATGACTGGTGTAGCCTCAAATTGGTTGTCCGATATCTCAAAAGGAAATAAGACAGGTTATGTACCCAAAAGTCATAGTTGTTTTCATATTTAACTCAACTTTTAGGTTGAATCTTGTTTTACCATGAGTTTGTTGGAATTGAGGTGGCTATGCCCCTATACAACATCTGTTGTTGTGTAGGCAATGAGGCCTATTTTGGAATCTGTTTTAATGATTTGAATTGTTCATTTTTTAGGATACATTGAGTATAATATACATATAAAAAATTAATTTAATCGGTCATCGATAACTCTTTTATCGAATTCGATTTGTATCTATAAAAAATGAAGGTAAATGTGATTTAAAGTATAAAGCTAATACAAATTCATTTCAATGAAAGTTCTATCAATGTCCGATCGATTTGATTATTTACAAGCATGTTTTACTTGATATACCCTAAAAAGTGAATGATTTAGATCATCAAAACGGCCTCCAAACTAAGCCCATCACCCATACAATAGTAGCTGCTATGCAGCCACCCTAATTTCGAGTTCATTTGATCAAGTTTCATCATGCTAAGCTAGCATAATTTTTCTTCATTCTATTTTCTAGTAAAGGAGTCCAACAAGCTCTGGAATCTCCAAGTCTTGCAACATCCATAAAAGAAATCAAGTTTTTCACACATTTAACTCCTGTAGCTCTCTTTGAGCAAATCAATGACTATAGTCATATATATATATATATATATATGTATACATATTTGCATATGTTTTATCTCTGCATCATTAGTGTAGGATTCACATCAAACTTTTTTTTTTAATATAAATTTAACTCTAAGAGATAATGCCCTATGACTTGAGCCTAATCCTCTTAGGCCATGTTTGTTTGGGCGGACTGGATTGGATTGGATTAACGTTCCTATGACTAATAGTCCTAGGACTATGAATCCTTTGGATTGTATATCCTATCCTATGTTTGGATTGAGTTAGGATTATAATGAAGGATTAATAAAATATTATCCAATCCGATGTTTGTTTAAGGAGATTTGAATGGATAGGACATGGCAAGATGTGGGACATCCAATATACTGACCATGATACCCCTATAAAATTTAACCCACTTTTTTTAATAGAAAAAATAAAAAATAATTCAACTATAAAATTTTTATATACATAAGCAACCATTTTAAAAAATACACTACTATTTTAATTATCTAATCATTCATTGTTCAAATTCAAAAAAGTATTTATTTGAACAAAATTTAACCCCCACTTATTTTTTAATAGAAAAAATCAAAAATCATTCAACTATAAAATTTATATATACACAAGTAATCATTAAAAAATATGCCCTGTTATTTTAATCATTGAACCATTCACTACCCAAATTCAAAAAGGCATTTATTTAAACAAAATTTAACTCTTTTTTTTCGAACAAAAAAATATCAAAAATCATTCAACTATGAAATTGTAGAAATATAAATCTACCATTCATCATTTCAAAATAAGCATTCCAAGTCGCATATTGCAACATGAAATAGCAAAATAAAATATGCCCTGTTATTTTAATCATTGAACCATTCACTACCCAAATTCAAAAAGGCATTTATTTAAACAAAATTTAACTCTTTTTTTTCGAACAAAAAAATATCAAAAATCATTCAACTATGAAATTGTAGAAATATAAATCTACCATTCATTATTTCAAAATAATCATTCCAAGTAGCATATTGCAACATGAAGTAGCAAAATATGAGTAGTTCAACAAAAAAAAAGTAGCAAAAAGTCAAGTCCTTATTACATGCATTAGAGTAATAAAAAAAACTAAGTACATAGAAGGACATAAAAGAGCCACGAGTCTATCATGGAGCACTCCTACGTAGCAACCTCATCACCCACCTTAGTTTGTCATCATGTGTCAAGCTGAAGAACATGTCGAGCTTTTGAGCACTTTGTGAAATGATCTCACAAGTATCTAGCCTTTCATCAAGAGTAATTGGCAACTTAATGAGTTCATCATTCAAACTTGCCCGTTTAGATGCGAGATCATGTTCATAACCCATTCTGCGACCAATGAAATCCAACTTTTCATTGGTGGCAAAAAATACCATCGAAATTGTACTCCATCTATGCAAATAGTGATGCAAGTCAATATATTAGAGTACAAGAAAACTTCATAATTCCAAAAAAAAAATTAACAAAACAAAAAAATAATAATAATAATGTAGAACATATGAGCATAATAATCTCTATAAATATATTCTTAAATTGGGATTCATTAGTAACTCAATTCATTAGTAATATAATAAGCCTAGTTTTTCCCTTTTGATTGTCCTTGTGTTCATTATTGCATTTCACCGCAGTGATCCTAATTCTAAGGAATATTTTTCATGGTTTTTCATAGGTGGGCTTGGAGATGTTGTTGGGGCTTTACCAAAGGCTTTGGCAAGGCGTGGGCACCAAGTTCTTCACAACCAATTTAGTGATGTTGCCAACAGGATGTTACTAAACAAAATTGACAACATCAAAGTTAAACTTCTTGTTCAAAAGTGTGTCTATCCAACAATTAATCAAAATTCACATTTGAGAAGCCAGAAATGCTACCATATGCAAAGTTCTCCAATTACCAATTGACATTACTCAAGTTAGCCTAAATTGAGCACCAACATTTTTCAGAGCTCGTCATGAGGGAGAGGTTCTTTCCACACACACACATATATGTATGAGAAGTTGAGCACACCAACATAAATGTGTTTAAATTTGCAGTTACAGAGATTTACAGGCTTATTTGAATTAGACAGTTATAGGATTTGACAATTACAAAAAGGGTAGTTTAAGAATAAAAAAAATCTGTGACATCCACACCAACATCCTAGTTGGCTTTATATAATAGTATAGATATATGAAAATTTTTAAGTGTACACAATTTGATTATAGAATTAGATATAACTCTCTCACATAAGGTGGGATCGATTAAAATGTGTGATTTCTACCTTATGTGAGAAGGTTATGTCTAATTATGTGAATAAATTTTGTGCACGTAAAACAATTGTCTATATATACATATGTTTTGGAGAAACATAAGGGTTCTGTTAATGATGATAAGTAACCTCTTACCATTTCTCTGTGCCCTTTGAATTTGTTCAAGACCCATATAACTCATTTAATATATAGTTGCCTGCAATTTTCATTATTGAGTTGTTAATAAAGAAATAATATTCACACTCCTTTTACTCTCTGATGTTCTTTTTTTTTTTTGGTTATTTTATTTCCAACAGAAAGAAATTCAGAATATTATTTCTCTGATAATAAAAGATAATAATATATATAGTTTTGCCCAGGAAGTGTATAAATGCCATCAACACTACATTCTATCTACACTTAAATTATATATATAGTCAGAATATTATTTCTCTGTTGATCAAAGATTTAGTTGCTGCAGAGACAATTTAAATTAATGAGGGAGAAGAAAAAATAATGATTGAACTACAAAACAGAAACAGCAGACATGGCTATACGAAAATAATGAAGGTAAAAATATATTCTTACTAACTCAATTCATTAGTAATATAATAATCAATAACACTATCAAATTAATTCTAAGGAGGGAAGTGTTGCTGATTTTCTTTCAAGAAGCAATTTGGCTGGATGGTTTGGTTTAATAGAATTGCAACTAGTGATATGTTTTTAAGGAGAAATATAAGAGTAAATCAAATTGTTTTGTTTTGTGAAACAGAAAGTGAAACAGATAATTATTCAACGGAGGGCGAAGCAGACATGGCTATACGAACAGCTTCTAAGTCCAGACTGGTTTTTACATCAATATATTTCTTTTTGCTAATTTAAAAAATAAATAAATAAATCCAAGTCCAATTAATTTGTATCGATAAAAAGAAAAAAGAAAATTAGAAGAAGCTAAGTACAGTTTTAAATCCATTCAAATCAATAAAAATTCCTACCCTATCTATCTATCTATCTTCAAATTCAATCTGATCTATATATTTGACTATTTGCTAATTTAAAATCACAAGTGATTTTGTCATGAAAATGAAAAGGCTATCAGCAATTTCCATGTATGAACACAGAGGATTTAACATTTCAAACCCCAAGAACACTCAGCACTAATGACAGTTACCAACGTGTTGTAGCATTCAACTTTGTCATCCAATAGCAAGCAACATAGTCCAAACTTTGCCTAATCTGAGATTTCAATATGAACTCACAATCAACAATATGAACTCACAATCAACAAATCTGAGATCTCAATATGAACTCACAATCAACAAATCTGAGATCTCAATATGAACTCACAATCAACAAATCTGAGATCTCAATATGAACTCACAATCAACAAATCTGAGATCTCAATATGAACTCACAATCAACAAATCTGAGATCTCAATATGAACTCACAATCAACAAATCTGAGATCTCAATATGAACTCACAATCAACAAATGGTGGATCCAAATCGATGAACAGTTGCTCCAGATTTGTAAATGGTGGCTCCAAATCGGTGATCAGTGGCTCAAGCTCGGCGATGAACTTTGAAGACTCTCATCCCATCACAACAATGTCGAAGAAGTGAAGGTTGCAATGTCGAAGAAGTGAAGTTTGTCGAATAAAATAATCAACAAATGTGATATATAGTGAGGGTTAATTTGGTCATTTGATGAGTTAATCCAGACTTTGGCTAATCTCCCAATTTATATCACACCCCTTTTTGTGGGATTGAATAATCCATCAAATGTGGGACATCATATCCGAAAGGATTGTTAATCCGTACTTCAATTTTTTAACCAAACATCGGATTAATAATTTTCTTGGACTATTAATCCAATCCTAAACCCATGTCCATCCAAACAAACATGGCTTACATGGCATGTTGTGCCCTCAAAATATTTGCATTCAACTGCGATGTTAGCAGAATTTGACTATTATTCATGTTTTTTTTTTCCTTCAAAATTTGCAGTGGAACCCTCCGAATTTGGAACAAGTATCCAAGGACATGGTAGATCAGTATTTTTCACCTCTGAGCGAATTTGAGCCTGGTCTAGAGCTACCCATCAAACAGCGCGAAACTTTCACGTAGTTGAGAATGTGCTCCTCATTTTTGTTTTATGTTTTCTGCAGAAGGATATTGGAAGCCAAAAGAATTCAAAGCCTTCTATGTTTTGCCCTGATCTCTCTCTCTTTCATTTTTGTAGTGGATGAATATTAAGATCGTTCTGTTGCATAATGAAAATTTACAATTTTTTTCTTATAATCGTATTTTTATGCTTAAAATATTTAAAAAGTTTATAACTTTACTTTTAAAAATTTATTTTAAATAAATTTATATTTTTAAAAATGATTTGTGCTTAAATTTATATTTGGTCAATGTACACACATGGATGAATCTACGATTTAAGTTTTGAGGGTGCAAAATACATACAACTATTTAGAAAAAAATATCATTTCGCTCCTCAAATTTTCACGTATTTTTTAATTTGACCCTTAGATTTTGATTAATATCAATTTTACAACTAAACTTTCAAAATTTTGATTAATTTGACCTATGCCGTCACATTTCGTTCAATTGTAGACGAAATGTGCTGATATGGGGGGCCAAATTGATTATTAAGGTATAGTTTGGGAGGCAAATTGATTTTTAATTTTGGGGGCAAATTGATTTTTAAGGTATAGTTTAGGAGGTAAAATGAAGTTTCAAATGAACTTTAGTGTCACGTCAGCACGTTCTGTCTAATTGTAGACGGAATGTGACGGTAGGGGCCATATTGATCAAAATTTTGAAAGTTTGGGTGTAAAATTCATATTAATCAAAGTCTGGGGGATCAAATTAAAAAACGCGTGAAAGTTTGAGAGGTAAAATGATATTTCCTCAACTTTTTATCGAAAAAAATTATTATAAAATTTTAAATTTTGATGTATAAAAAAATGAATAATATTACTATTAATCAGACATTTTTTGTTAACATAATTGAGAACAAAAATATAATTGAACATATTTCTTGACTGCATTAACTTAACAAAATATTAACTATTACTATGTATCCGTCTAGTGAAGTTAAGTATTTGAAAATGTTATAGTCGGCACTTTTATAATATATATAAAAGCATCTATGATAAACTTGATATCAAAACCTTGATTAATATCTTTCTCAATAAATATGATCAAGTAACTTGTTACGAAATCATCTTCCATTTTATTACGCAGTTTAGTTTTGAAAAAAAAAATTATATTTGAAAATGTATATCTTTATGAGTATAATAATAATCCGTTTCAATAAACAGTATTAAGTTTTATTAATGTATTTTAAGAATGTCACGTTGAAGTAGACTATTTTTATTTAGATATATGAAAATATTTAAGTGTACAAAATTTGATTATGGAATTAGATATAACTCTCTCACATAAGGTGGGATCGATTAAAATGTGTGATTTCTACCTTATGTGAGAAGGTTATGTCTAATTATGTGAATAAATTTTGTGCACGTAAAACAATTGTCTATATATACATATGTTTTGGAGAAACATAAGGGTTCTGTTAATGATGATAAGTAACCTCTTACCATTTCTCTGTGCCCTTTGAATTTGTTCAAGACCCATATAACTCATTTAATATATGGTTGCCTGCAATTTTCATTATTGAGTTGTTAATAAAGAAATAATATTCACACTCCCACACTCCTTTTACTCTCTGATGTTCTTTTTTTTTTTTTTTTGGTTATTTTCCAACAGAAAGAAAGTCAATATTGTTTTCAGAATATTATTTCTCTGATAATAAAAGATAATTATATATATAGTTTTGCCCAAGAAGTGTATAAATGCCATCAACACTACATTCTATCTATATTTAAATTATATATATAGTCAGAATATTATTTCTCTGTTGATCAAATGATTTAGTTGCTGCAGAGACAATTTAAATTAATGAGGGAGAAGAAAAAATAATGATTGAACTACAAAACAGAAACAGCAGACATGGCTATACGAAAATAATGAAGGTAAAAATATATTCTTACTAACTCAATTCATTAGTAATATAATAATCAATAACATTATCAAATTAATTCTAAGGAGGGAAGTGTTGCTGATTTTCTTTCAAGAAGCAATTTGGCTGGATGGTTTGGTTTAATAGAATTGCAACTAGTCATATGTTTTTAAGGAGAAATATAAGAGTAAATCAAATTGTTTTGTTTTGTGAAACAGAAAGTGAAGCAGATAATTATTCAACGGAGGGCGAAGCAGACATGGCTATACGAACAGTTTCTAAGTCCAGACTGGTTTTTACATCAGTATATTTATTTTTGCTAATTTAAAAAAATAAATAAATAAATCCAAGTCCAATTAATTTGTATCGATAAAAAGAAAAAAGAAAAATAGAAGAAGCTAAGTACAGTTTTAAATCCATTCAAATCAATAAAAATTCCTACCCTATCTATCTATCTATCTTCAAATTCAATCTGATCTATATATTTGACTCTTTGCTAATTTAAAATCACAAGTGATTTTGTCATGAAAATGAAAAGGCTATCAGTAATTTCCATGTATGAACACAGAGGATTTAACATTTCAAACCCCAAGAACACTCAGCACTAATGACAGTTACCAACGTATTGTAGCATTCAACTTTGTCATCCAATAGCAAGCAACATAGTCCAAACTTTGCCTAATTTGATATTTCAATATGAACTCACAATCAACAAATCTGAGACTTCAATGTGAGTGAAAAACTCATAACCCTAGATATGGATCTATGAAGATGAAGAGAGAGAAAGAGCAATAACTATAACAACACCAATGTAAAACAAAGATTCATAGCAAATCAAACCATGTAATAGCACCTTAATTCAAACCGAACATCAACAGGAAAAAAAAAAATTACTCACTGAAATTTGTTGAGATCAACGAATCAACAAATGGTGGATCCAAATCGATGAACAGTTGCTCCAGATTTGTAAATGGTGGCTCCAAATCGGTGATTAGTGGCTCAAGCTCGGCGATGAACTTTGAAGACTCTCATCCCATCACAACAATGTCGAAGAAGTGAATCTTGCAATGTCGAAGAAGTGAAGTTTGTAGAATAAAATAATCAACAAATGTGATATATAATGAGGGTTAATTTGGTCATTTGATGAGTTAATCTAGACTTTGGCTAATCTCCCAATTTATATCTCATCCCTTTTTGTGGGATTGAATAATCCATCAAATGTGGGACATCATATCCGAAAGGATTGTTAATCCATACTTCAATTTTTTAACTAAACATCGGATTAATAATTTTCTTGGACTATCAATCCAATCCTAAGCCCATGTCCATCCAAACAAACATGGCCTTAAAGAGTTCGCTCTAGGATTTATTCAACATAAATTAATTTACTTGCGTTTATGAAAAAGTGATAGTTTTCAAAAGTTTTGAAAATGAGTCCAATTTTTTAGAAAAGAAATGCCCCACGTAGAACAAAAGTTAAAGGCCTTGAGGAACCTTTTAAAAGCCCACCTCCAACAGTAACATAATATGCTTTTTATGCACTCAATAGTGCACTATATAGGTTATTTCTTATTAAATTTGTCAAAAAAAATGTTCTAACCATTTTAAACTAGTGCCTTATTTATTTGCGGTATGTGACCATCTTTGCGCTGTCACTTATTGAACACTCTCTCAAGTGTTCTACATTATTTCCGTATAGCAAAAATAGACCTTCAAGGCCTATTAATAGTTTGTACCTACTCAAATGAATGTTTAGTCTACCCAACAAGCTTGGAGCACATAATAAGTGTCATACTTATCTACTCTGTCTTATGGTTTTCTTCTGTATATATGTTTGAGTTTAACATATTAGATCCAATTTTTACTCTTCTCAACATATTCTTGTAGATGAAATAGAAGATATTATTGGTTAGACACATCACTAACATCATAAAATGTTGTGTTAGACTCCCAAAGAATTTGAGCATAATACTTTAATAATCCAACGACCTTCTAAAGGCATTTCTAAAGATTTTAAACTTTTAAGACACTATCAAAGAGTTCAATGACTCCAACAATATCCAAGAACTTAGCATCAGAATCACCAATTGTTCACATGGCAATTCATATACCTAATTGGTCCCATTGTACCAATTCAACATTATCCAACAACAAAACATAGAAGTGAGATCATTAGAAAAACTTTGTTTGACCATAGCGAAATGTGCTCACCTTTAAACTATATTGTGTCAGAGTTTAGGCTGAATAAAGGTTGTTTGTTTATTGTCCTAGTCTTTAAGAGTTTGTTTCAATTTGCCTAGTTTATAGTAGTATCTAAGTAGTTGAGTTAGTTCCTTTGATTTCTGCTAGTTATTAGTTTGTTCCTACTTTAGTGCTATATCCTTCTTGTACTCCCCTATTTATGTATGAGAACTCAATGAATAAATTAACTTCTATTTTTCAAGCATATTTGTCTAAATCCTATATTATAACAGTAGTATCAGAGCTTGAATTATCTAGTGTTCTTGTTGGTTTAAGTTCTCTTTCTTAGATTGCTTGTAAGTAGTGTCCAACGATGAACAGATCAATTCAGCCTCAACTTTCGAGGTTCAGTAGGAAAAACTTTGATCAATGGTATGTCCAAATAAAGGCGTTGTTCAGTTTTCAAGAGCTATTCGAGGTTATCGACCTTGGATAGACAGAACCAATTGATTAAGCTACAGCAGCAGCACTTACTCAAGTTGAGAAGGACAGTTTGAGAGACAATAGAAAGAAGGACAAGAAGGCCTTATTCTTCCTCTCCTAAGCTATAGACAAGATTGTTTTTGAAAAGATATCGAGTGAAACTATTGCTAAAGAGGCATGGGCCATGTTACAAAAATCCTACAAAGACGAAGAAAATGTGAAGAGTGTAAGGTTGCAAACCTTGCGAGACGAATTTGAATCTCTCAAAATGAAAGATTTTGAATCTATATCTGACTATTTTTCACATGTGCAATATGTTGTTAATCAATTACAGGTTAATGGTGAAAAAAATGAAGATATATGAGTTATTGAAAAGATCATGATATCCTTGACAGGTCGGTTTGATCATGTTGTTGCTACAATCAAAGAAGAAAGGGATCTTTCGATCATGACAATTGAAGCTCTGATGGGTTCATTATGTGCTCATGAGTACAGAATGAATCAGAGGTCAGCAGAACATGCAGAGAAAGCATTGTTGTTACAACACTCATCAAGCCACACTCAGAAGGGTTCCAAGCGCAGGAAAGACAAGAATGATCACCAAACACCAGGAGAAAGTAAAGGTGCTGATTACACTAAAGGAAACTGGAAGGGACGTGATGGTCAAAATTTTACAAGTCACAAACCACAGTCAGCAGACAAATCTAAGGTTAAATGTTACCGTTGTCACAGGTATGCCATTATCGCTCCAAGTGTCGAACAAATTTGAATAGAAATTATAGTGCAAAATCTTATTTTGAAAAAAAAAAAAGAAGAAGAACAAGAACAAGAAATTGCCCTCCTTATTGTGTGTCAAACTAATGAGAAAACTCATAGGAATTTATAGTACTTGGATACCGATTGCAGCAACCATATGTGTGGAGACAAATTAGTGTTTTCTTATTTGGATGAACCTTTTCGCAATACTGTAAAGTTTGGTGATAACTCTATAGTATATGTTTTGGAAAAATGAACAGTTACTTTCCACACCAAAGGGAATTCTCATTCTATTTAAAATCTAATTTGCTAAGTGTTAGCCAGCTTCAAGAAAAGGGTTATGAGATTTCCATTAAGGATGGAGTTTGTCGAATCCAATAAGTGAAATTGGGCTTAATTGCTCAAGTGAAAATGACAACAAACTGGATGTTTCCTTTGTATCTCCATCACACCATTCTTTCATGTTTTGCTTCGCTATGGCCATCTCAATTTTGGAGGATTGAAGACCTTGCAGCAGGAAAATATGGTGGCAAGCCTTCCACATTTTGAGTCCCCTTCAGAGATCTATGAAGAATGTGTTGTTAACAAATAACATCAAGATCCTTTCCCTAAAGAAAAGTCTTCAAAGGCAACTAAGTCGTTGGAACTGGTGCATTCTGACTTGTGTGGGCCAATCAAACCAATGTCAAATATAGGTAAATGGTATTTTATATTGTTTATTGATGATTTTAGTCGGAGAACCTAGATTTATTTTTTGCAGCACAAATCAGAAGCTTTCATAGCCTTCCAAAGGTTTAAAGCACTAGTTGAAAAAGAAGCTTGCATGCAAATCAAAATACTTCGCACAAACCGTGGTGGAGAGTACAACTCAAAAGAATTTGAAGATTTTTGTGGGAGATATGGAATTCAAAGACAGCTAACTGCAGCTTACACACCTCAGCAAAACGGTGAGTGTGAGAGGAAAAATCGCACGATCCTTAATATGGTTCAAAGCCTATTATAGAGGAATGGTCTTTCCAGGAGTTTTTGGGCTAAAGTAGTAAATTGGAGTGTTTATATTTTGAACTGAAGCCCCACACTAGTTGTTCAAAATATAACCCCTAAAGAAGTGTGGAGTGGGCTCCAACCGAATGCTAATCATTTTTGGGTGTTTGGGTGTATAGCATATGCCCATGTTCCGAATGAAAAAAGACAGAAGTTAGATAAAAAAAAAGGTGAAAAATGCATTTTTCTTAGGACTGCCATACTTCTGAACGACAAATTTTAGCAATCTTTGATGGTGCCGATGAAGAAACAACGCAGTAATCTTTGCAACAACTTGATACTTCTCAAACTTAAGGGCCAACAACTACAGAAACTCAATCAGCAGCAACAAATCCTGATGAGTAGATTATTACAACGATGTTTCATATCCTCAATGTGAAAAAAGACGACTCGCTTGGATGTTAGATTATGAAATAACTAGAATTGATCAATCTGAAGACCACTACAAGAATTTTCACTTTTGGAGACTAAATTTTTAGTCGCCATAAGTCAATTTTTAGTAGCCGAAGGGCTTTAGCGACTAAATTTTTTGGTCGCAAAATTAGTAGCTGAAGAGTAGTCGGGAAAGCTAATTGGCAACTAAAATTATTTTAGTCATCAAATGTATTCATTTGCCAACTAAATATTTAGTCGCCAAAAGCTTGGACATTAAATTAAATTAGACCCTTTTCGGCAACCAAACTTTTAGTCGCCTAAAGTCCCACCTTTTTAGCTACTAAAATTTTAGTTGACAAAGAGTTTTTTTTTTTTTTGCTACTCAACATTTAGTTGCCGAAAGTCCCCATCTTTGACTACTAAATGTTTAGTCGGCAAAGAGTTCCTCTTTTAGCTACTAAATATTTAGTCACCTAAAGTTTTACATTTTTTGCTACTAAAATTTTAGTCGGCAAAAGTTTGTTTATAATTTAGTTTTTTGTTTTTCACTACAAAATATTTTAGTCGCCAAATGTTTGATTTTGTTTTGGCTACTAAAGTTTTAGTCGCCAAATGTCTTTTCCCAATTTCTTTTTAGCTACTAATTGTTTAGTCGCCAAAAACATGATATTATGTTTTATCGCGAAATTATAATTTCTCCACAACTTGTCTATATACAATGCAACCTGTAATACGTATAAAAACAAAATCATACATACTATCAATCATTCCATAATCTGTATCCATATACCAAAAATAAATAACATTAAATATCAAAGTCCATACAAATCAACTATTGTCCATACAAATCAACTATTGTCCAAACTAAAATAATAATTCCATACAAAATATATCATACAAAAATCAAAACCCTCCGTATACAAAAAAATACATTTACTACCAAGCGAAATTACCATTTGGCATGGTACATATTACCATCGTAATTTATACCACAACAAAAGGTGATATATGTACCACGACAAAAGTTTTCTATGGACCATAACAAAACGTC